TGTGTGTGTGTGTGTGTATATATATATATATATATATATATATATATATATATAAGCTTTAATGGTTTGTTTCTCTAGAGAACGCAGTCCAACACACTGAGGAAGTTGACTCCCCTGTTTCTTCTCACTATTCATCAACCTCCCACCTCCCTGTCTCCAATTGCTATTAGAATCAAGAAGGACAACTTCGCTACCACCATTGGCTGATGCTGATTCTGTGTATTCTTTAGTTATTTTCTTGGCAGTGCCCCAATACAGGGCTCTCCAGGAACAGGCATCATCAGATCCAAATATTTCAAAGGACTTGGGTGGTTTTGTGTCCAAAGACATTCTATCCATTTCTCTGCTACCAAGTAAGATGACACCCACCCCACGTCTTCTTCTTGAGGCACCTGGCTCTGATTTCAGAACTCAACACTGCCATGCAATTGGGCCATTCTTTAATACCCTATCCCCAACTACCACCTGCTGACATTTCAAACCCCAAGAAGCCAGAGCAGAAGTAAGAGAACCATTTATCATCTGGAGAGTCAATAACTAAATATCAGTGCCAGACAGTAAGACATGAAGGTAAGTTTGCTACTATATAGTCCTAGGGGGAAAAAAATGTCTTATAGATGATAGACACATTCTAGAATACCAGTGGATGTTTGGGAACATATTGTGGAGTATTTCTTACAACAAATTTACCTTCTGATGCTTAAGTAGAATGAAGGAGTATATGAATATGCATTCACAGATGTCAGAGCTATATATTTGGAAAATGTACATGTATGAATGAAGCTGTTAGTGCAATGTTATCAGGGGTTGTCTGTTTTCATGTGAGAGGAATGTGGCATGTTTGGAGGGGAATAGGTTAGGGCTTGCATGTCTGAGCTGGTGTGTCTCTGTCTGATCACAGCATTAGAGAATTTGACTTCTCATAACTCAACATCAGTAGCCACCATTGCACCAAAAGCATGAATCTTGCATTTTATTAATCTTCTATATGACCCCAAAGCTGTCAGATTATCTAGAAAAAAAGTTCAGGATTTGCATGTCCTTTTATTCTCCACCATCCCTAGCATAATAGAGTCTGGTTTGTAAAAATAACAAGGACCTCAGAATCTGTCAGATTTGGGTTTGAATCCCGATAAGTATTTACAAACTGTCTGACTTTGGGCAAGTTACTTAACATCATCTCCTATCCTAATATATCCTTGGAAGGAAGGTTAGGAAATCTACTTCCATAGTGATACCACCTCGGAAACCCAAGGAGGGATCTCTATGAGTCGGATTCGACTCAATGACACATAACAACAACAACACAACAACAACATCCTAATATATAAAATAAGACTCTTACCTAATATGCTGATGAGGAAACATCAAAGTCAGTAGTTGAAGGGGGATATGAATTTACATCCCAGTTTAGTCACTACCAGTGTAGGATCCCTCTAAAAATCTCTTTCCTCATTTGTGAAATGAGGCTGGAAATGGTTAATATTTATAGACCACTATTCTAAGAGCTTTGTGTGCTTAACCCACTAACCTGACTTCATTTTACTAATGAAGAAACTAAGGCACAAACAAGTTAAGTAGCATGACCAAGGTTGCTCAGCTTAGAAATGGCAGACCAAGACTCAAAGCCAGGCAGTCCCACACCAGAACCTTGTTGAGCTCTGGTAGCATAGTGGCTAAGGCACTTGACTGCTAACCAGAAGGCTGATGGTTCAAACCCACCAGCCACTCCTCAGAAGGAATATGGGGCAATCTACTTCCGTAGTGATAATCCCTCAGAATCCCAAGGAGGGGTCACTATGAGTTGGGTCCGACTCAACAGCACATAACAACAACAGTGAAGTTAAAAGGCTCCCTGCTGGCACAAATGGTCAAGCACTCAGCTGTTAACTGAAAGGTAGGCAGAATCTACTCAAATAAAAAACAAAGTGAGGTTAAAATGAGAGACTCATATAAACATGATGTTTTGAGGAGGATTCTTTTTCTCTGACAAATAAAAAATTAAAGAATTATTATTTTTAAATTAAGAATAGTGAATGTGAAAATCATAAAGTAAGACTGGCTTACTGGTCTGATAGAGCCTGATGAAACCCCTGAGACTATGGCCTCTAGTTACCTTTTAGGCCTGGAACTGAACTCACTCCTAAGGACTCCAGCCAAACAATAGACACATATATAGGGTGAGCATTTGCATCAAGCTTCATTTCACAACAAACACACTTCAATAAAGAGAGAAGCAGTTTAATTGAATTTCTAAATTCTTTATGAGTTAGATTGTAATCTCATCAGAGGATTAATTCACTTCAAAACAATTCATTTATTGTTCTCTATAGGTGAAAACTAAGTTCAGTTGAATACTTACTAGATATTATAGATACAGCACTGAGCTAAACATTCATAGGAACACAGAAATTAATAAAACCTGATCCTAACCTAAAGCTTACTATCTCGTCAGATAGGAAAGGAAATGGGAGTTTTTCTACAAATCAGAGCCACCAAGGAAAAATTAAATTGTAAGCTGACTTTGAATGCTGTCTCTAGTATACCCCAGTGATTCATTTTCTATTCACAGTAACACCTTATACACAATCAAGCCACTTAATCATTGTGTTAGAATCAAAATATCACAAAGTTGGGAAAGTATTCCCTCTCTATCTCATCCCACATCTTATCCTATTTATTTCCTTCTCAATAAATCTGGAAAACTATCATAGACTATGTTTAGTGAGTAAAAGTTAAAAGGAAAGCTCTTTTGCTCCTGGTATCACCCCACCCTGAGAGAGGTCACCCCCCAATGCAGTGGTATGTCAGGAAGAGCACACTGCCCTTCTTGATGCCATAATCTCCCATGGTTTTCCCATCTTCCAGTCTCTTTCCATTGCAAGTCACAATCTGGGTCTCAGGTGTTATATCCGTCTTCATCTCAATCATCTTTTTCACCTGGGCCACTGAGTTGGACCGCCGCACCTTGAGGGGGTGCCTCTGCCCTTCGTCACCTGACTCCACCAGAACCATGGGCAGCTCCTCATCACTGGGCTTCACCACCTTCAGGGTGAGGTGGATGATCTCATCCTTGTTGGTGACATAAGATGAAAGGCTACTCAGAGGCATGAGAGTTTTAGAGCCCAGCTGAAGGACCTGGTCCTGCACAGGAATCTTGGTCTTGGACCGGATGTGTTCATTGATCTTCTTTACTTTGTCACCTTGGTTGGCAGTGAAGGTCATCAATTTCCATTCCTCAGAATGGACATTCACCTGGGCAGGGAAATGATGGTTTAAAATGTCTGCCATCCCTTACACCTCCCAATCCCCCGCCTTAATTGCTCTTGCCCTTCCCCTGCCTGTCAGGTCTTCCCACTCCTTCCCAAATATCTGTGTCCTTCACTTTCTTGCAACTTCTTTTTTGGAATTTCCTAGTTATAATAAAAACAAGAAAGTAAGTCTCATTCATCTATAACCAAATCTCTTCTTCATCCTAAAATATAATTAACAATTGTTAGCATTATTTCCCTACCTCTTATCCAGATAATACTTGTCAGTTGTCAAAAAAGTAAATCCAACTGCAAAGCTTCAAAAGATGTACACTAGCCTCTAAAATCAACTCCTAAACAGTTTCCAAGACTTGCCGGCCTCAGTGGATACTCATGAGGCTGTCTCCCTTGACTACTCTAGAAGGAAACCCAGATTAGGACACTTTACCTCTGTACTGTTAGTTTCCTTTTTAATGTCCATTGTTTTGTAATGATAATACACATATTGCAGTGGCACTATGTTCAACGTTACTTGTTAATCTGTGTTCCTTGTGTTTTTGTATCTGCCTATTGTAGCATATGATCTCCTTAAATTAGACCAGACTTCACTCATAGAAGGTAGAAACTATATCCAAGTCTTCAATAACATGAAAATTCTGAAAGATGGGGAAGTTCACCCCTATGCTGTCACCTGAAAGCCTAGAAAGACATCCCTTAGGCCCCATTCAAAACTATCTTCCCAACCTAGGAGTCATGGACCTAGGTGTCATGGATGCTGTTTGACATTCTTTCACTCAAGTGTTAAACATTGCCCTCATCCCAGGTTCTCCTCATAATGCATATTCTTATGTAATGTACTGTGTTAGGTCATTAACAACTTAAGATAAATGAGTTTTGTGAAGCTCTTTTGGTTGTTGTTGTTGTTGTTGTTAAGTGCCGTCAAGTCGTTTCCGACTCATAGCGACCCCATGCACAGCAGAACGAAACACTGCCCAATCCCGCGCCAGCCCCACAATCCCTGCTATACTTGAGTCCATCATCGCAGCCACCATATCAATCCATCTCGTTGAAGGCCTCCCCCTCTTTCATCGACCCTCCACCCTACCAAGCATGACATCCTTCTCCAGGGAATGGTCCCTTCTTACAACATGACCAAAATAGGTGAGACGAAGTCTGGTTCTTTTGGTAGCTGAAAGAAGCTCATGTTTAAGAGCCCTGGATCTCTAAATAGGATATAAAGGAGGCTCAAGACAGTATTTCCATAATTTCAAATCTTGCCAGCCCTAGTTAGCACCCTCATTCCCTACAATTTCTCCCAAACACTGGCTGGTATCCAAGGTCTGACACAAAGAACAACTTCTTAAAACAGCTTTTCTCCACAGGTCCCTTCTTGCCACTATGCAGATGTCAATTCTTATCTCCTCTTTCAAGACACCCTCCCAACCACACTGCCTTCCCAAGTACTACCCCACATCCAGTTCCTGAGATCTCTTTTTTTTTCTCTCTCTCTCAGAGATTCTTTTCCTTTCCCCGTCCCTTTTATCAAATCCCAACTTACACAGAGGCAGGGTCCATTGGAAGCCATGAGTGCAGTCAAGAGAGCAGAAACAGAAGAGAAGGGACTGAGAGAAGGGACGTGGAGTCGAGCTTATATGAAAGCAATGGAGTTGGAAATCCCCTGCCTGGAGATATTGTTGTGCCCTTTGTTCTTACATGTTCTCAGAAACCTTGTTTCACTTTTGCTGAGGTGACATCAGTTAAATTAAAAAAAAAAAAAAAGAAAGAAAGAAAGAAAGAAAAAATACTTTCTATTCAGACACTTATCCATCAATCAGTCTGTTTCCATTCCTCATTCCAAACATGGGGTGGTCCTTTTGGCCCTGAATTTTCCCTGATTAAGACCCTACATCCTCACTTCCACTCCTGATTTGTGACTGTTCTATCCTCATCCCTAAACCCTCACTAATATGAAGTTCTTTTGTGCTCGGTAGTCCTCCCTTGATGTTTTCACGAGCCTCCATCAGTCAGAATCAGAGAACTTCTTGAGAGCAGGGGTGCCCAGGACAGGACAGTCAATGTTGTTATAGAATATTGTAACTTGTGACCAGCCTATTCACAATGGGCTGACAGAATATGTAACATTTTTTAGAGGACATAGGATAAATAATCCCAGACTGAGAAGAGACATGAGTTCAAGTCCTAGGGATACCACTCGGCATAATACCTTGGGCAAATCTGTTTACTTCCTTAGATGCTGGTTTCCTAGTACATATGATGAGATGATTGGAGAAGATTCCTAAGTGCCTTCTAGGCTCAGAAAACTTTGTTTAAAAATTGTCTTTTACAAAGAAGTTTGGAATCCTGGGTCTTGAGTTCTCTAACACAGTTCCGACCCGGTCCTAAAATCTGCAAACCAAGCCCACTACTTGAAAACAATCTTAAACCAAAAATCAAATGCTGACTCCCACTTTCTACACACCAATCACAAGCCAACACAATCAGCCACATCCACTCTCACACACAGTGTCTCTATTTCCCCACTTTTGCCCCAGCCTCTCCCCACTGGTACAATTTCAGAGAAAACATCAAGATGCTGCTCACTCTTTTGCTCTTGACATTTGGATTAAGACAAAAAGGAACTTCATTCACTCTGTACCCTCAGGAAATTTACTCCAACACCAGGAGCCTCCTAGCATTCCAAATTAATCACTGCTCTCTCCCAAACTCTCATGACAGGACCATGAAACCAATTTTTTTGTAAGTACTTATTAAAAGTGTTTTCTTTCTTTTTTTTTTTTTAAAGGAAAAAGTCTGTAATGATGCCAACTTATCATCTTTGTTTGCTGTTCTCAGTAGCTATTTATTGTACCTTCACTCACTGATTGGTCTCAAGTGACTTCATTTTCTTCTAGGGGTTTCCATCTTGGAGAACTTGGGTTTATAGAGGTGTTCATGTAGAGTATGGAACACAAAAGCTTATTCCCGTATTTCAAAAGCATAATATAAATCATGTTCTTTTATTTTAAATGCTTGTTATATAATCAACTAAATAAGACTGAGGAAACCAGTTATTACTTAAATGTATTTTGTAGAGTAAACATACTTTTTTAAGTACATAGGATGAGTGTGAAAGGGAAAGACTGTCTTGCTATTCTCCTTTCAGATATCTCTCCCAATTCCTATTGTCCCATGTTTAGAAGCCAAGACTTATGGATTATGCCTTTGACAGTACACATTAAAGCATAGCTGCTCTATATCCATTGTCCAATAGAATTTTGAGATTCTGAAATATCACCAGTGGCCAGGCACAAATTGTCAGATCAGGTTGAGAGTGACAGTGAAAGAGGAAGCCCTGCAGTAGGATAGGGATGGGGGGAGGGCCTGAAAAGAAGGAAAGGAAAAGCTATACAATGTCAGATTATACAATAAGTAAAGTAAGAACAGGTTTGCTTGTGCTTACTTACTAATCTGTAGTGAACAATTTCGTATTTTTTTTTTCACCACATCAAAGATTCAGCTTCTAGGTATAACTGGCATTTGTCTCTCTCCTAACCCCACATCTTCCCACAGAATCAAAACTTCTCAAATTTACAATCCCTGACAGGGACAGAGTACCTAGTAACAAGATAAGCACAGGCATAAGCTTTTAGGCTCATCTGTCCCTGTTAATATAAGCCTAGACTTCTGTGAACTGCTTTTCACTTTTTAGATTTTATTTGCATCCATTACTTTCATAGGTTTATATGTCATATTTCTGGAAAAGCAAGTAAAAGTGTAGGTGGTTAAAAGCTACTTAAAATTACATCATTCTTCTCTCAAACGTCTCCTCTCTTTGCCCTTCTTTCCTCAGTAGCCTGTCTACATCTTGGTGTCCATGTTCACATTATCAGGAATCTTGAAAGAACTCCAGGAGAAGGAGACCAATAATGACTTTCCTAGAAGTTACATCTGCCTACTGATGCCCCAGATCTAAACCTTAGCCCAGACAGATTTGCAGATCTGTGGGTCTACCAGTCTCTATGCACTGTTCCCTGAATTTCCTTCATATTCTTGAACACACCAAGCTCTCTGTCACCTCCTGGCTTTGAACATACAATTCTCTCTGCTTGACAGGACTTTCCCTCCAACTCCACTTGCATCACCATGAATTTATAAGAATGCACAGTGTAAGCCCATCTCCTCCAGAAGGCCTGCTCTAACTTCTCTCCTCCTTCTTCTGGGTTGTGTAAGCATCTTCTGTCCTTCCATTCTCCCTGTGCGAGCCTCTCAGAACACACCTCTCCAGTAATAGGATCATCTTCTTGTCTGTCAACCCCTGTAAACAGTGGGAATCTTGTGAGTCAGGATAATGTCTTAATTAACATGTATCCTCAACACTGTCCCACAAGTGTCTGGCATAGTAAATGTTGTGTTAGGTGCCATCAAAGCAATTCTGACTCAATGTGATCCCATGTGACAGAGTAGAATTGCCCAAGGAGCAGATTGTCAAGTCATTTTCCCCTGAAGCCACTGGGAGGATTCAAACCACTTAATATTTGTTAAATGTATGAATGAATTAATAAATGAATGAATAATTAAATGAATAACAGAAAAGAGAAACTAATGTTTGTTGTTGTTATGTGCCATTGAGTCAGACCCAACTCATAGCGACGCCTCCTTGGGTTTCCAAGGCAGGATCTCTACGGATGTAGATTGCCCAACCTTTCTTCCGAGGAGTGGCTAGTGGGTTTGAACTGCCAGCCTTCTGGTTAGCAGTCAAGTGCTTTAGGGACTGTGCTACCAGAGCTCCTGTGTTTAATGAGTACTTAATATATTCCAGACACTAAGACATTAAGGAGCCCTGGTTATTATTAGTATTGCCGTCGAGTCAGCCCCGACTCCTAGTGACCCCTCCTTGGGTTTCCGAGGCAGTTATCACTACGGAAGTAGAATTGCCCAACCTTCCTTCCGAGTAGCATATGGTTAAGCACTCAGCTGCTAACAGAAAGGTCAGTGGTTACAACATACCAGCATCTCCATGGGAGAAAGGACCTGACAATATGCTCCCCCTTTGAGATAGCTCAATTCTGTTATATAAGGTCTGTATGAGTAGGAATCAACTTCAGGGCACACAACAACAATCCCAAACCCAAACCAAACTCATTGTTGTCCAGTTGATTCTGACTAATACCAACACTATAAGAACTGCCCATAGAGTTTCCAAAGCTGTAAAGATTTATGGAAACAGATTGTCACATCTTTCTCCCACCAGGTAGGTGGTGGCTTCAAAACATTGACCGTTTAGAAGTCTAGCACTTAACCACTGCACCACTAGGGCTCCACAACAATCCATGATCTAATTAAATGTTCCCTCATTTACTGTTGCAGTATTCTAGTAAGGTAATTATCAGTATCCTTGTTGGTATGAACAAAAACCTAACTCACTGCAGTCGTGTTAGTGGCAGCTAGGAAGCAAGGGTTGAAACACAAATCTATATTTATACTCCTTGTCTCGTGTCTTGTTATCTTCATATTGTGGTACTTTGAAGAAAAGAAAGGGGGAGTGCATGCACATGCTTACCTTTTGTTACAAGAAATGTTCCAACTAGGGAAAGGGAAATAGACAACGAAAACAGTCAGAGAACTGCAGGGAGTCTTGGGATACATGAAAGCAAGAAGTGGTTCAAAGTTTAAATTTAAGCAGATGTCACTCTATGCCTGGGTTACCATCACTCTTCCCCACTTGGCAGAAGTTAGCAGAGAGGTCCAGAGTGCAAAAGTTGGAACCTAAAGGAAGATTGCATCCCGGTAGAAAGGTCAGTAAGAACTCTTATCCCAGGACTGTGAATGTTCATGGGGTACTCCCATCTTCCAACCCTCACTAGGTTCCAAAGGCTTCCCCTCGACCTACAGAATCTCAACAGCTGGGACAAAGCCAAGATTAAACTCCTGAGGTCTTCACTCTCAGAAAAAGTCTTAGAGGTTGATCAGTCATCCCTTCTAATCAGTTAAAGTTGTTGGACCCGAATTTGGAAAAGGAGTGTCAGCACAAGGAATGTGACACTGACACGACAGTGCAAAAGCAAAGGAAAAGTTTATTTCCAAGCTCGAGCTGGGGTCTCTGCTTACACCGGTGCAACGGCTTGGGCAAAAGACCCCCGGCTCTTCCTGTTTTACACTTTTATAAGACTTTTAAGGGGCAGTTCCACAAGGTAGGGCTGAACTTTAATGATTGGTGCAGGGGACAAGCTC